GGGAAAGGGTTGATAGTAAATTTCTCTTTATCTTACAGGGTTATTGTGAGAAACAGATGGTGTAACATATGTTGAAACCCTTTTAAAACCCTAAATTTCTATACAAAGCTATTATATGTAGCATCATTATTTTTTGCTAATGGACACATACTCCATGAGTATAAATATCTATAATTGGAACACTTAGATCTCTGCTCCGTTTCTTGACATACAGACTTCTGAGTTAGTGTAATACATTTTCTTTTAGTAATGGTTACACATACTGATAATGCCATCAGTAACTTAATGATGATAACAAAAGCTTTCATTCAGGTAGAGGTTTATACTCCATAAAGCACTTTGTGTGCATTATCTAATTTGATGCTCACAACTTTGTGAGGCAGATAATACAACTGTTAGCACCTGCATTTTACAGATGAAAAAATGAAAGATCAGAAAGGGAAGGCAATTAGCTGGTCACAAAGCTAGTAAGCAACAGTATTGTAACTCAAGTCCAGGTTTTTCAAATCCAACTCCCATGCTTTCCCCATTATAGTATATTGCTTCTATTATGATCTGTAACTTACTCAACTAGAGAAAAGTTTGTTGTTTTTAATAGTCTAATTGATGTCTTTTATTTTTATCTCACAGTCAGTTAAAGAAATAACCTTCTCCTATTGCCTTCAAATTTTACCTTTCCCTTTCCTTCTCATTTCTAGCACTACCTACCATTAATATGTAGGGCTGCTATGAGGAGAGTCCTTTTTTTTTTTTATGGTTAGGCAATTGAGGCAAAATGACTTGCCCAGAGTCACACAGCTGATAAGTGCTATGTGTCTGAGGCCACATTTTAACTCAGGTCTATCACCGCGCCACCTAGCTGTCCCTAGTACTTTTAAAATGTGAAGTAAGATGTCAACTTAAGTTGTTGTTCAGTCATTTTTCAGTCATATTGACTCTTCATGACCCTATTTGATGTTTTTCTTGGCAAAGATCCTGGAGTGGTTTGACATTTCCTTCTCCAATTCATTTTAAAGATGAGGAACTTTGGCAAACTTGCCCAGGATCACACAACTAATAAGTGTCTAAGGTTGGATTTGAACTCAGGAAGATCAATCTTTCTGATTCCAAGCCCAGCGCTCTGTCCACCATGCCACTTACCCGCCCCTTAACATAAATAATTGCTATTATCAGCCTAATTACTGTTAATATTGAATGGTTCTCAAAGGACCATTCCATGATACATACTCAGTTATCTATAGACAGGCAAGTTTCCATGCATGAGTAATCAATAAACCTCAGAAAGAAGGCTGGCTTATCTGGCAACATCGGCTGAGCTGTTTAAGCTTAAGCATGAGAAAAATGTGAAATTGGTAAAATTTTGTATTTTTGACAATTTTAAAAGATGACATGAACTTTTATAGTACAGGCACATATGTAACAGAGCATAATTTTCTTTTCAATATGACCTCAATCTAATTTTTGGTCCCAAAATTTTATGACACCAATTTGTATGGAGAAAAGAAAGTGGGAATGAGTCAATGTGATGGACTGTGGGGCTTGGAGTCTAAAGATGTCTGGATTTGAAACCTGCCTCTGGGTAATTACGGTGTTACTGTGCAAAGTCACTTAACCTCTCTGTCTCTATGAAAATGAGTATAATAATAAACATAACACTTGCTTCACAGGGTTGCTTCGATGTTATATATGAAATTATTATATTGATGTTTGCTCTTAATATTATCCAAACTTCAAAATTAGGCTTTCAAATTGAAATTATTTAACTAGCAATTCATGGTTCTAGCTGGCACAGAGTAGACGTTTAATAAATGTTCGTTGACTGACTGATTGACATTCTGTTATACTTTTGTCTAAATGGAAAAATGACACAAACATTTTCTGGATAAAAATGAGTCCTAATGGCACATAACTCCTTTCTTGGATCTGTTCAAAATTTCCATTCCTACACTTAACTATTATCAATGGGAAGAATTAAAAAAAAAACCCTTTCTACAAGTGCATTTATTGCTGAATTTCACGACTGTCAGCAATTAATCATCAATTATTAGGCACCTATTTGTTATGGACTGTGCTAAGTATTACAAATACAAAAACAAAAATGGAACCACCTCTGTTTTCAAGGAGCTGCCTTTTACAAAGGATTGTTATATTATATGAAGTTTTGAAACAACACTCTTCACTTCCATTCAGTGGGATATGTTTCGGTGTTAATGTTGTAATGTGTTTTGGAAGTAATCTCATTTGCCCTAACATTTCCTTTTTAAAGCTTTCAAACTTTTCAGAGTACTTTTCCATTTATTATCTCTCATCTCATCTACTAGACTGCAAAACCCCACGTCTTACACTGCTTTATAGAAAACTAGCAGACACTCAAAACATTTGTTAATTTTTAAAAATTAATACAAGGGATTTTGGGGGATGGGAAAGGAAAATAGAGAAGGATGGGATGAAGTTGCTCAGAATATTAAGTAACACTCTTGAGGTACACAGATCTTGAGAAAGAACTAAGAATGGCAAATAACTGATCATTTACATTAGGTTTTATATCTATTTAAAATTTATTTTAAAAGTTTATGTTTAAACTTTATGTTTATGTTTAAAAGTTTAAGTTTAAAAGTTATGTACTTGGAGAGTTCATGGAATCATGCATTGCATACTTCTGTAATTTCAATCTGAAATTTCAGACATTAATCTTAAAGACTGATTATAAAATAGTCCAAATCTTAAAGACTTATTATAAAATGGTCCAAATGCATAGTTTCCAAATTATTAAAATTATTTCCAAATTAGTATTTTCAAGAAGCAATATTTTTATTTAATTGGGAGGAGTAGGAGTGGAGGAAAAGAGCAAGGAAATTAGGCAGATTATTTCTTTGATTTTGGTGGGTCATCCTCAAAACTTCTAAAAACACACTAAATATTTTCTTACGTATTACTCAAAATACATGTTCAACATCGGTCCCTAGAATGCAGTCTTGGTGACTGTAGTTTTCCCATAACAGAGTTTCAGTCAGAATGGGAAATATCACTTGTATGTTAAATGTTAAAATGTTGGCATTTTCCATTGTAGTAAGATTTCATTTTACCATCCTGCAGCCATTTATTTCACAACCTTGGAATTACATCCTTGAATTTTCCCTCTTACTCATGCCTTCTATCTAATTAGTTGCCAATCCTCAGGAAGTATCATCACACGCTATTGACCCACCCCAGCAAGGCAGCATGGAAGAGTGGGGCAGAGTACCACCCTTGTAGATTTGGGGTTGAACATAGTCTCACACTTATCGTGTGACCATCATACTTTATGGAGCAAGTCATTTACTCTCTCTGAGACTTAGTTTCATCTACAAAATGGTGCTAATTATCCAGCCTTTCTCGAGTAAGCGAGACTTGATAGACTTGTACTTCCTGTTTTGTAGATTGCCTGCCCTTATTGAGGAACTTCAGTATAAGGCTTTAATGGAGGCCTCGTTTTCAACTGAGAAAAACAAAAACCAAAAAATAAAACACCCCAACTTTCTACTTAGGAAGGTAAGACTGCATTCTGAAGCACAGAATGAATTGTTTTGATTAGGTTATTCAAAGGACCTTTCCCCCAGGAAAATAAAATCAAAATGATTTCAATGTCTTATAGCAATAGCTTCCCAAGAAAATGAGATAAATTTAGCTTCTCATGTTTGTTATTCCATTTTACTGCACAAATTGGGGTTAAGAAACTATTCCAGCCACCACTTCAGTTTCTGTTGGTTCTGCTCTGATGTCCTAGATCTTCATTAGTCACACTTACATCGTGTACTACATGTCATTAGTTCTGTTCTGAAAATTAACTTCCAGACTTTTTTTTTTAATTTAAATATCCAAGATAAATCTATTAAATGGAAACATCTTTCAGGTCAGTTATTTATGTAGATTAAAAAAAAACCCCAAAACTTAGTATACCTGGCACCTAGTGCTGTGCAAAACAGAGGCTTAATAGTTGCCATTTTTGGGGGGTAGGGGGCTATCTTGTGTTTTGTTGAAGACTGGATTGAGGCAGACTGAAGGCCTGTATCATTGTTGATATCCTTAAGTGCTTCTATACTTGGATTAAAGGGAGTATGTTGAGGTGGAAAGCACAGAGAACACAACAGAGGGTTCCAATTTCAATTCCCTCTCAAATAATATCAGTGACCTTGGACAAGTCATTTAAGCTGAGTCTGTTTATTTGTTAAATATAGGCTAGCCTATTTTCAGTAAAGTGCTTTGTAAACCCAAAGCACTATGTAAATGGGTTAAAACATATTTTTTTGCTACCCACCTAACCTATAGTCTCTTGGAATTAAATATTAGAGTGTACTATCACAAATACATTTTAAAATTTTCTTTAAATCTTTTTAATATTAGCCTCACAAAAAGGTGTTAACAAACACTATCTTTAAGAAATTTAAAATGAAACCTTACCAGAAATTTCAGATAGAGGGTGTGTGTGTGTGTGTGTGTGTGTCTGGTGACTACAGTATGACATAATGGAAAAGTCACTGAACTGGAAATCAGGAAGCCTCGATTCTAGATTTGGCCATGCTATTCCCTAGCTCTAACATAATGGAGCGGCTAATCAATCTTTTTGGGTCTTCTTTTCCTTATTTGTAAAATAAGGTGCTTAACCTAGGTTAATCTCCAAAATTCCTTTGTGGACTAATATTCTACAATTCTCTAAGGTCTACTTCATAGGGGGAAAAAAACAAATTAAATAAGATACTCAAACATTTTATTTTTAGCATATTATCCAGAGATAACTTCTTTTTCAACAGTAGGCCTAAACAATTTGATAAATATTCCAGGTAAAAGGGTACTCTTTGTTAGAACACAAGGTAGATAGAACATTTTCAGAAAGCATTAAATTTGCTTCATTTTAAAATTGGGAACTTAGTCATCACAAGAATTCTACTTAAAGAAGTTCTAAATCATATCTTATCAAAGAGCACAAATGTAAATGCATTTAATGAAAAAATAAACACAAGTTTTGATGTAATTTACTTTTAATGAGAATAAGACACACAAATATTAACAAATTAAAATCTAATAATGGAAATAATTTCATTGCACCTTTTTTTCTCTGCAGCACATAAATGCAAGCATATTTTGACTTATAAACAGTATTAAAGAATAACCTTGATTAATTGGAATGCTTAGGGTATGGGTCTATGTAACCAATGGCTAATGTTTAATTCTTTTTAGTAAAAACCTTTAAAAAATATTAACAATTCATTTTTTTGTCTTAATTTTACTGCCTTTACTAAGCTAACCAAGTTGTGATGGCTATGAATCTTGCTGTGCCTTAGCCATAATTAAGATCAATCAAATCTAGCTTTCTAATGTCATATATAACTTTACAATACCAAAAACATCCTTCAGAAAATACACATGGCCAGATAAGTTGAATTTTTTATAAGAATCTTTTGCCTTTTCAATGAGCATTAGTTCAGAAACTGGAGTATCGTGGGATGATATCACTGAAAACAAATCAAAAAAAAATTGGTTTGGGGTGTTAATTTAGCACTTGCCAAACACAGCTGTGTACACCAGCTGTGTTTTACTACAATGTACACGAGCCAACATACTAAGCATTATGCCTGTGTATTAACACTTTCCTATCATAAACTGTTTCCTTCTTCTTTAAGGGTTTATCTCTTCTTTTCCTTATAGGTTTCTGGAAAGGCATATATAAATGTTTTATTCTCTACAGTAGTTAAAAAAGTATATATTTGGCTCTCTTCTGCTGCTTGTTTACATAATCTAGTACTTACTTTTTCCTTCTCCACTCTGTTGCTGCTTTGTTTTTTTCATTTCGACACTTCTGACACTAATTCTCATTCCTTCTGGATTTTGTGGGTCACTCTGATGTTACTTTTTATCTTCTGTATGACTTGCTCTTTTCTTTCGTTCCTACCACTTCAGTTTTAACTTGACTTTTTTGTTTTCTGTGATCATGGTGCTTAAACTGTCTCCTTTTTCTCTGCCTGACACCTTGAACTTTAGGTTCAGTACACTAAAGGGTAGATCATGGCACTTCTTTGGACTTTGTGTGATTTCACGTCTTCTCAATGGTATTCATTCCTTTCAGACTTCAAAGAAGAATTACCCATATCAAAAGATCATGATTATATGAGAGTTCTTAGAATATACTTATGAAGGGATGTAACTCAGCAACAGATATATAAAATTTATTTTAAATTCCCACTGCTAACTATATTCAATTCTGCAGCAACACAGGTAGACTAGCTGGTGTGAAGTATCATTTCGATAATTAGAATAAGTTCAAATTGTTCAGTTGATGGTACTTCTGAGTCAACTGGAAACCCAAATGAAAAATTGGAGTCAAAACCCAGAAAACCCAAATGATAATAAACACAACTGTTTACATGTTAATCAGTTCATCTGTTATTCTACCTTAGACTGTATTTAAAATACACATACTTACTCACCTCTTTCTATGTTCTCTGGCAATTCTTATTTGTAACTCAAATAATTTAATCTATGGTTGACATGTGATTTTAAACTCAAGAAATCTTAATTTTCTTATTTTACTGGGAAAACAATTAGTTCTCAGTAACATCATCTTTCCATTTTAAACCTAAATCAAAACTTCTTTCATAAATGTAGCGAGGTAGCAGAGGAGAGGTTGGCTTCTTTCTTAAGGCAGGTGTTTTTTTCACAGGATGTATTCCTTTTTTAATGTAAAAGGTCAGTGTCCTTACAGGAATACGTTCATAAAATTGTAGACAGTCCAAATGCAACATTACAAAATAAATATCAATATTTATTTGGAAAGATAATGGTAAATTTCCATTCAGCAGAAACTAACAACTCCCAACACGATCTCTAGGAATTATTCGTAGTTCTGAGCCATGCTTTAGGAAAACATTCCCTAAACAAAAGGAAAAACAAAGTTAGGTATGCAAATAAGGTGAAGTTTTATGTTATATAAGAGCAAAAGACAACAAGCTAAAATCAAAATTAAAGATTTTATAATCATTAATGAAGCAGTACATTGTAACTCAAAACAATCCTATGAAATAAATGTCTCATTCTTATTTTAATACATTAAAAAACTGATTTTATTCAGAGACTTTTTTTTTTAGTACTTCCCACACTGTGACAGTCCAACAAATACTTAGCAATTTAAAGCAGAAATACCAGGGATGAAAAACCTAGAGAATGAACTAAAAAAATTAACAATGTGAATTAAATCATGAATCACTTATGTATGGCAACAAAAAACAAACTGAAGAGAAGGAAAATAAATAAATCTAAACTGTAATAAATAAGGAAATAGTTTAGAATCATTCCCAATTATGGAATGATTGCCTATGGAGATATTTTTATTCATCTTATATTTTGTGCATCATTGAATTTTTAATGTCATTATATCAGGCAGCATACATTATAGCTGCTATAGACATTAATATAAATAAACGATTTTTAGTTTAAAATTTGAATTGAATTGATTTCTAGCAATAACTTTTAAAATATCTGTACAATAAGGACAATCAGATTTTTAGACTTTACAATTTTATAAAAATGATTCATTTTAAAGACATCATTTGCTTAAAACTGAAAGCAATGGTTAAATGAACAGTCATGAAACATTTTTAATTGTTCTGCGTGAATCATAAAGCTTGGTATGGAACTTAAACTAGTTTAACATTTCATCATGTAATGTTAATTATTTTTTAAATGACTATTGCCAAAGACATTATGAAATACCAGGCATGCTAAATTTCAACAAACACAATAGCTAGATTTTTTAAAAAAGTTTATAACTAACAAAGTTGCCATTAAACTTATTATTATTTCTTTATAAACTAAATCATATATGATAATTTTTATAGATTTAAATCTATTTACTAGGGGATATATAAATACATACACACACACACAATTGTATCATATCCCTGCTATGCAAGCTGACATTTTGTTGGAACTCCTTAGGTGTTAAACAAACTGACAGGAATTTTATTTGGTACAGGATCTCATGCTTTAGGTATGTTTCCTTTCTGTCTTTTAAAATATACAGGTGAATTTTATTAAAAGGCTAAAATTCCATATGTTAATAATGGACACAATGAAGTAACTTAATATCGACAAAAAGTAAAACAGTGCTATAAGAAGAATTAATGGTTACAAAATAGTTGTCAAAAAGCATATCTGATATCAATAAAAAGTAAAACTACTAAACATTTTCAAGAAGAATTTTTGGACACTTACCAGCAGTCTGTGCAGGATTTATTCCTATTCCATCTGTAAAACAGTTTTTAAAATTAAATGAAATGCATCCAGTTAGACCAAGTTTCCAAGTATCTACAGTAGATTTAAGCTAAAACAGCTTCACTAGGTATGTAAACAAAGGTTAAAAAAAATACAAAAACATAAATAGCTTTCAGGTAATCATCTAATTGCTAAAATTAATTATGATTATATATTTCTAGCTATTGATGGGTTGGGTCTTCTGTGAATTACAGAAACAATTAAGTTGCACAAAAGAAATTTTAAACTTATATCCTGCAATGTATAGTAATAAATCATACATCGCAATTTCATTCCAAGAAGCTAAAAGCTCTTCTGATAATTGAATTATCATTCAATATTCCTCTTAGACATAGAATCTTAAGAGTAGAAGAGACTTCAAAGTCATGTATATCAGTTTCTTGAATTACAAGGAGAGTGGTCTAGCCTTTTCTGAATATTTCCAAAAATTCCACAACAATATTTGATATAAAGAGTATTTCAGCTGTTATCATGAGTTCTCTCTAAAATCTAATATAAATCCTTCCAAGTGCAGATCAAACTTTTTCTCTCTTATCCATACTTAGTGGAAATTAAACTACTCACTACTACACATGAAATTTTCCATGGTATTCTTGAAAACTGGTAAAACTCCACTCAGACTTTTCTACTAATCAATTTTTTTGGTAGCTTTTTCTCACAGGGCCATAAAGGACAAAGTAGCAGAAGAAGAGCAACCTTCTGATCTAACTCATGATACAGTTTCAATTATGAAAGAAACATGCCAAATGGAAAAATAAACCACCCCAAATGAGGTTTTCCATGGCAATCTAGTATGTTCGAATGGGGTCACAAAACATTTAAAAATTAACTGGACTGTGCCAAAATTATGGAAGAACCTGAGAACTGATTAAACCTTTTTCTAGACTTCCGTGATTCCTGTACTTATCCTTTACATCAATATATAAGACAAGGATGGTTATACAGATTAGGAAAATGTATGTTTTAAGTCAATTTAAATACATTTTGTCTCTTTCTTCTTACTCATTCACTGTAGCTGTTATAATGTGATTCTAAAAAGAACTCTTACCATTTGTAATTATAGCACTTGTTGCTGCAGGAACTTTAAACTAAAGGAGAGAAATGGCAAAAATCATTTTTACAAACTTAAACCATCTTAAAATCTGTAATAATACAATTGTTTGTAATGCATAAATAAAAAATCCTGATGATGCAAACCAGAATTACAAAACTTAATTGAGAAAATGCTTTAATCTGCATATATCAAGGACTTTTTATGTTCTCTAAATATTAATCTCATTAGATAGCTGATATCTGAAAGTCTTAGTTTTATTATCTACTGATTTGTAAGAGTAACTTGTGTATATACAAGTAAAAACAACTACAACTATGTAGACTATAATGTACTGCTTTGGAAATTAAAGTTTTGATTAAAAGTAAAATTGTACTTACTGTTAGAGATTATTGTACTATATGAATTATCTTCCTAACACACATTTTTCTTATAACATAATTTATTTTAAAATCTCAAATTTCAAACAATAAATGCTATATAAAAGGAAAAGTCAAAAGTACTTCTAGATCCAATATATAATTAAAGTACTTTTAACTTTTTTGCAAAACACCTTTTTAAAGTTATAAGTGAAGTCACATAGAAATTTGCTCAAATACTCAAACGAACTTCAACAGCCATTTCAGGTTTACAAAACCTGGATTATAAAAGAAGCTTAGTAGCCCTACTGAGTCTCACTTTCTTAAATCATATTCATTTTAAGCAAAGGCCGTACAATTTTCTAAGTCATACCTGTGTGGGAAGCTGACATTAGTTCTTGGCAATGTGTCCCACATTTATTAACAGAAAAGCAAAATGCCATTTTTTCTTTCTAGGAATGAGGTAAGGTAGCAACAGTCAAATTAAAAATAAGAAAAAAAACACTATAACTACTTTTGAAGTAATAACCTCATCCTGAGTAGAGAACACTTTTATGATTTCTTCCTCCACTCCTTCCCTCCTCTACTCCCCAGGCCTTTTCTTTCCTTTTTTCTTCAAGTCTGACTTAATGATACCACAATCTCTTCTCTGGCTCTCCAATCACTTTTCTGAATCCAGTACTTGATTACAAGAATCTGAATTTCACAAAATTGGGTATACCAGTCACAACACATCTGCGGTTGAGACTTCATGATATCACAAAGACCCCCAAATTATCGGTCCACCGTCCCAATTCTTCTGCCATTACTTGAAGACCCACTCTCAACAATAAATAGAGCCTACAGAGCACGTGGCAGCAATCTGCCTTTTGTTCCAATCCCTATTAATATTCTCTATAATACTAGGTGCCTGTGGTGTGTCCAAATCACTTCTTCCTAAATCATCATCTCTATTTTAATCAGCACTACTCCTCCCAAGGACCATTCCTACTTAATTTCTCTATGTTACCCATAGACCCATTTATTCTATAAAGCATTTATTCCATTGTGCTAAAAATGCCACATTCCTTACAATTTTCTCCACTGGAAATCAATTATCCCAAGATCTGTGACTCACATCACCAGGTAGAAGGCTGTGCATATTCTCTTCCCTCCACAGTTACTTTGAGGTCATTTCTCTTATCAATATTTTTCAGTGACCTTTCATCTTCTTAAGTCATACAATCTATGTATATCTCCATATTTCCACTTTATTGGTGTCATTTACTAATTTAATTACCTCCTCCATCCCAATGAAGCTATACATGCATTGACACTGTTATACATCAAACCCCCCATTTGTTGGAATTAAGTACATTACCTCTAACATCTGGAAATTTGAAGTTCTACTTTGACCACAACCTTCTATCCTTCCAGCTCTTCCCCTGCCCCTTCCACAATCTCATGCACACTAAATCTACTTTCTGTCCATATCATAAGCTCCAGGCACTTGATACATTCCATTCTCCATGGTCATCTCATTTACTCTGATGTCATTTACCTTCATGAGCAGTCTTCACCATTTGGTCTGATATGTTAGCATTTTGAATTTTCTAGTGTCTAACACAGCTCTATACTCAGTGTTCAATTTGTTGAGGAAATTGGCTTTATCATTGTTCTTCAATTAGTGAAAGAATATCACACATTTAACAATATGTTTACTACAGGCACGTGAGCTATATAACATGGGCTATCTACAAGCTAACACTTACATAGCACTTTAAGGTTTTCAAAATGTTTTACCTACATTATCTCATTTAATCTTTACAATAACTCTGTGAGGAAGGTGCTATTATTATTCCTATTTTACAGATGAGGAAACTGAGGCTGAGTTCAAGTGGCTTTCCCAGGGTCACATCTCTATTAAGTGTTATGAAGCAGGATAAAACTCAGGTCTTCTTGACTCCAAGAACATCAATCTATCCCCTATGTGATATCTTCAAGAGAGACAATGAAGCATGCCCAAAATGTAAATGATCTATAAGCTAAACATGGCAGTATTACATGACTACCAATCACCTCAAACTGAAGAAAATGCAAAAGGCACATCCTATAATGCAATTTAACCAAACATTTACTAAGCACCAATTATGTACACGGAACTATGTTACATGCTGAGGAAACAAAGATAAACTTAAAATGCTCTCTGTCCTCATGGAACTAAATAGTAGTATTTTTAATTCAAAGTTTGGAAAAAAAAAACGTCCATTTACTTCAAATTCAATTTGTAATTATCTTGTTTACTATTTGAAAACATGTTAAAACTAGCTAATATCATCAGTATAAAATTAACAATTTAAAATGAATTATAGTTCTTAGACTTCTATTGTCAGGACTAATAATTAAGACTTTATTCCTTCATCAGGTAAGAAAATGAAGTAATGGCTGAACCATATTTTAAAATTGAAGAACATTATTTAAATAATCTAATTTAGGCAGACCACCTTACTAAAATAATTCATATTATCCATACTTCTCTGCTAGATGTTAACAAGTATTAACTCTTTGGCAAGGATATCATGTCAAAAGACAAATATGAATTTTTAAAAATGAAGTAATTAAAGTGACCTCCTTTCCAATTTCAAGGTAAGTTTTCATTAATAATCATGGTCTTTGATTACCACAGAATTTTGGAACTGAAAGGAATCTTAAAGACTGCTATTTGAGAAATGAAAAAACAGACTTAAAAGAGGTTAAATGATCTGTCCATTGTTAAACTACTAGTTAGGCAGAGCAGGGACTAGAACCCATAGATCCTTATTTCTAATCTAGTGCTTTCCACTACTAATTACTTTATTACCTAATTTATTATAAGATGAAGGCAATAACCTGTGCTTACTAATGTGATTTTACACTTACTTCTTCTGCAGCAAACTTTAAGACTGCTGTGAAAGGAGTATTTTCGGGAACACTGAGTCTGCAAGGAAAGGGCAACGAATTAGAGAGAAGTGCATAGTTCATTTTAGCTGTTATAGTGTATTCAGATGGAATTGTCAGGGAGTTCTGCTGAATGACCACCAATACTCCAACCTGATTTCAATATTCTTTGACTTTAAATAAGTCAAATTCAACCTTCGTTATTAAAAAATAAGTCAGGACAGTGACCCTGATCACTAAAGATCCTCACTTCTCTATTGTTGTAACAGACAAACCTACTTAAAAAACAGTAAGGGGAAGGCTAGTCAATGATAAGGCATATTTGAAAAATAAACCCACAGTACTGGGCAATTTATTTGGCTCCAATATTAGGTTTCACATTGTTGAATGTACTTTTTTTAGGGCATTCAATTAATCAAGCAATCAGGTTCTTTAGCATTTTGGGCAGAGCTTAGAACCCAGGACTCTATTTCTGAACTCTGAACTGGTAAAAGGAAATTTCTGGCACCCTGAATTCCAAGTTGCTTTGCAGATGAGAATGCCTTGACTTACTAAATTAAGCATCAAGTATTCCTTTTTTTCTTTTTTGATGAGGCAATTGGGGTTAAGTGACTTGCCCAAGGTCACACAGCTAGTAAGTGTTAAGCGTCTGAGGCTGGATTTGAATCAGGTCCTCCTGACTCCAAGGCCAGAGCTCTATTCACTGCACCACCTAGCTGCCCCTAAGCATCAAGTATCTTTTAACTAGGATTCTATCTGTATGAGATTAGTATTACTGTAAAATCTTGCCCTTAAAAGGAGCAGGGAGAGAAAAAGAAACAAAAGAAAGATCAAAGTTTTCTAATAGTAGGAGACAGAATACACTTAATATCTTGAGGGGATCAGGAAAGCAGCCCTTGAGTTGACAAGGATTGTGAGAAGCTGAAAGCAGGAAGTAATACACTGCAGGATTGGGGAAAGGTCTATGAAGGTGAGCAGAAATGGAAGTTAGCATATCGATGTCAGTGAAGAGATACTAGGCCACTTTGGCTGGAATGAAGAATATTTAAAAAGGGAATAATAACAGTCAAGCTTAAGCCAAAGAGTAACCATTTGTTAGAGCCAGGTTTTGGAGGTCTTAGATGCCAATCTTCAGTTTGCACTTTTTCCTAGAGATGACCGGGATCCATTGAAGGTTTTTTAAAATGAAATTATATCGATAAGTTTCAATTTTTACATTACATATATTTCCCGAAGTGTTCTGTTTATCCCCCACCTATTACAAGGAATAAAGAGGGGGAAAGTTTTTCAATTCTGTTCTATTCTGTTCATTTTAAAAATGCTACAATAACCTTCTTTCCCTTCCTTCCTTCCTTCTATTCCTGTTGATAATCCCCTTCTTCTTCCCAAATCTCCCCCCAAATTGGGGGAGGGAGAAAGGAACCCCTCTTGCAAAAAAACACAAACAAAAACACAGTTAAGCAAAACTACACCCAAAAAATGTCTATCTCGAACTGGCCTCAAGTCCCACACCTCTCTGTCATGCATAACATGCTTCATCTCCATTCCTCCACAGTAATGGCTGGTCACTGAATTGATCAAAGTTCTTAAGCCTTTCAAAGTTGTTTTTCTTTTATAATGTAATTGTTGTATGAACTTTTTGGATTCTGCTAACTTCACTTTGCATCAGTTCACAGAAGTCTTCCCAGTATTCTCTGAATCTATCCTTTTCACCATTTCTTATAACACAATTTTTAAAAATGTGCATTCTAATATACTTGGCTATTTGTATTTGTGATTGTACCATTGTATCTGCTAACTTTGGTTTTCCAAAATTTCAAGTTTTGACTTGATAAAGCTGAGGTTTACATAATTTCTCATATTTGTTATTACCAAAATTTCAAGTTTTGACTTGATAAAGCTGAGGTTTACATAATTTCTCATATTTGTTATTACCAGAATGATAATAACCCGTTAGACTTAGTCTTACGTCAGTATTGGTTAAAAAATCTCATCATAGTAAACATTTTAAAATAAAGTACTATATGTAATTACATATAATTATATTAGGGTCATTAAAAACTGTTTTCCATATTAATGGAAAGATCCCAACAACTTGGAAAAATAGCTCTTCCCATTGTAGAGAAATGACATTTTGCAGACCTAGACAATATAATTTATCTTTTCTGTGTGTAAAATGTTAAATAATTAAAACAGTATATGTTTCACTTCATTATTTACTTTAACATCTACTGCCTGACAAGAGAAGTGCAAGGCTTAAGAACAGACTGAGATACACATCTGTGGACATGATGTGTGTGGATTTGTTTTGCTTGAATGTGCTTATTTGCTACAAGAGAGAAGCTGTTTTGTTTCAAACGGGGAGGGGAAAGGGAGGACTTAGGAAGGAGAAATTATCCGTAAAAATGAAAAAAAAAAGTATTAAACATTTAGCTCCCAAGCAACTTGGAATACAAAGTGCTAGAAGTTTGCTTTTTCAAGGCCAGTTCAGTGATCAGGAATGGAGTCCTAGATTCCAACGTGAGCCAAAATGCTAAATAAGCACCCAACTGCTTGACTTGCTGAATATCCTAAAACTGTTCTGATGGCAAAACCAACCAATATACTGAAAAAGTCTAACATTATATGTAGTATTCCATACGCATAGTGCCCTACTTCTAGTAAGAAGCTGGAATGGGTGTCTTCTATCTCTTCTTCATGTCCAGACTTGGGTATTAAAACTGCATCCAGTTTAGTGTTGTTTTTGTTCTTTCCACTTACAATGTGGTAAGTCACTGAGTTTACTGCTTTCCTGGTTCACTTACTTCACTTTGTATTAGTATACATGTTTTCCCATGCTTCTCTGTATTCATCATTTCTTATAGTACATACTATTCTATTACATTAATATATCACAACTTATTTAACCATGCCCCAATGGAAGGACAACTATCTACTTTGTTTCCAGTTCTTACAAAAAGTGGAGCTGTAAATATGTTGGTGTAAATGGACATTTCTTTGTGTCACTGAGTTCCTGGGGGTATATGCCTACCTGTGTAATCTCTGGGTCAAAGGGTATTTTAGTCACTTTCTTAGCGTAATTCCAAAGTACTTTCTTGAAAGGATGGACCAACTGCCCATACCACCAACTGTCACTGATGGTTTTTAATCAGGTAAGTTACGTGCTCAATTTCTAAGACCTGTGGCTTAGGAAGATTATTTTGGCAGCTAGGTGAAGGGCAGACTAGATGGGGCAGAGATTATTAGGAGGGAAACCAACTAGGAAGCTCATACAATAATCTAGGTCAAGGGGCAGCAGACATTTTCCATAAAGGGCCAGACAGTAAATATTTTAGGCTTTACAGGACAAGAGGCAAAATCAAGGATAATATGTTAGCATTTAACCAGAGAGAAAACAAATTTCCATAACCTTTTTTTGGATGAACAATAACAATATAGTATATATATATTTTTAAATAATGCAGGCCTACTAATGAAAAAAATGGATTTCTTGTTGGAGGGATAAAATTGTGTTTCATTGGGACCCAAAGTTAACATTCCCTTGCAAATGTCCAACTCTTAATACTGAACTATAGTGAGATTTTACATATGTTATCTTTGAAACATCTTTCCACATAGTACTTTCCACAAGTACTGCCAATTAATAATATCAATCCATAGTTAAGTGCTTTTAATTAAACATATTCATTGCTTAGATGGCATTTAAAAAATTCTATTAGACTCTTCTTCTTGATATATGTCTTGTAGCATGCCATTACACTGCAGATTAATTACTTCCAACTGAAGGTGAGGTGGAAGCTCCTCAATTGCACAATTAAATGGATTTTGAAATATGGAAATTTCTTTTGCACTTGCACTCAGATCAGAAAAATTCTCCTTGAACTGCAGTCTGAGCTCAGCAAACATATCCTCTGCAAATCTGTGTGGGAATAGAGATGTTCCTTCTTATTTTAACTTTCAAACAGCAAAGTAAGTGCATAAAGTAGGCTGATATTACTTGCGATTCAAATGCTGTTAATTGTTGTTTTAATGACTTTACTGCAGTACAATTTTCATATATATGTATAATTTTGTCTTCTAATTTTAGACTGATTCATTAAGAAATATTATTAAATCCTCAACAAAGCTAATTTCCAAAGCTATTAAGTATTTGCTAACAGTGGTTGAGGGTAGTTCTCATTTAGAAAAAATTCGGTCTCAGCTTTGAACTAAAAAAATTATAATAAAGCTTTTTTTCCCCTTCTCTGTTTCTTGTTTCAACATGATGACTATGTACTGCTCATGAAAAAAATGTTGCCGTATGGTGATATATGTGGCACTGAAAATGCTGTTGAGTTATAACTGTCACTTCAATTTGTAATACACTGAGCAGCGATGAGAATTGATGAGAGAAGCACATATGGGTTCTGTTGCAACTGCTAAGGGAATTAAGGAATTGAGTGAACCACACTGATTCAATCTTATGACTCAGTTCTGGAGCTAGTTCAGTTTCTTTTCTATTCAATTGTGGATTTAGTCCAATTTCTCTGTTAGGTGAAAACTTTATTCAATTATAGGAATTGCAAGAATCATATTATCTGAACCTAGTGCTGCATGGCTGGCAAGGTGGATCACCTCTACATGTTGCTTAGTGACCCTTACCTAAGGACTTAGGTCACACTGACCAGCAATCCAGTCTGATCCAAAGACTGATACAAGCTTTCTCATAATTATACACCTCAAGCAACCCATAAGTCTTATCTGAAAACTGGCCCCATATTGCTGAATCAGTTATTATTTCTTTATTCCTTTGATTGAATATAGACATTTTGGGGGAGTGGGACACCTCTTTTTCTGATTTCAGGGAACGGCTCCTGTTTGCTCTCTCCCTCCCAACTTGGAACGCCCCCAAAATTTCCTCCAATTAGAAATCAGATTATCTAATTTTGTATCTTGGTTAATTGTTTTCTTTTAATTAATTGATCTTATGTGATTAATTGGTTTTCATACATAAAAATCTGTCTTGGTATATTCATGATCTTTGGACTGGCTAGGGAGTTT